ATATTTTGTTATATATATATATATCATATGTTTTTTACATATATTACATTATATCTAAAAATATACATATGAAAAATGACAAATCAAACTGAAACATATTAATAACACATGGTATATTATTGATGTATTATTGTTATATGTTTCTGTTTTAAAATACAATATTTATACACATATTTATTGTATACCATGTGTAAGATATAAACTTTGAGATCTTATAAGATGTTTATTTGTTAATTTTGTTTATTTATGTGCATTAGATATGTTATATAGTACGTAATTAACACTATTTGATATTCAATTCAGAATTTGAAAAATATGATATACACTATATTAGGTTTGTTTTACTTTATTTTAATATGCAATATATATATATATATATATTTAATATTTACTATTTGCTATATATAATTTATAATGTATAATACATTGTTTAATTTTCATTATTTAATATTGAGTTGACTTTTATTTTTGGTTATACTATTTGATTTGAATATTTAATATATAATGTTTTAATGTAAGTGTCAATATAAGACTAAAAAGTTTAATTTGCAACATAGCAACATATATTATAGTGAAATCTAGTACAATATAATGACTATACCGATCATGCTATGTGTATATATATATATAGACCAAATACGTATATTTAATATACAATATAAATACAATATATATATATATATATACATCCATATGTGTATGTGCATTATGAATAATGTATATTAGATTTACAGTGTCACATCATGCACATCCACAGACAGGATGTGGATACACAAGATGTGGATACATACACACACTCATACATTTCACATGGTGTGAGTATATATATATATATATATACATAATTATATATATATACATACAAAAAGTATTGTACACGTGTAGGATGTATCATAAGATAGGCCCACACCATGATGATTTCCAATCGACAGGATTTCCATTTTTTGATTTTCAGTTTTGATGTTTTAGCTTATGGTGAGGTCTCCATGATAGTGTTTCATAGTTTTACGTGGTGTCCACCTTTCCTGCTACCGAAAACCAGTGACGCGTCAGCCAGGATTATTGGGACCATCGTTCCTTTCCCTGGGATTGGACCCCATCAGAACCTCAATGTGCCTTGGAATTGTATCGACCTCAAGCGACACCATATGGACAATCACTGTTTTTAATAAGAAAATCCATTTTGAATGGCCATGTTCAAATGCTATCTTAAATTACCGGTATATCATGGTCAGTGGCAGTCAGTGGGGAACTCTCCTACTTTTTGGATCTTATATAAAAACGACGGTCCGTTTCCGCGATCTTTTAGAGACACGGTCAGCCTGAATTGACAGCCGCACAGTGGGCCGGGACTGGGGTGGAACTGCAGCCAAAAATGGACCATGACCTGCATCACGCCGGAGAAATGATGAGATGGAACGTTTATGTCTTGGGGCATATTGATATGGGGTTTCCATAAATGGGGGATCCCCAAGATAGTTACATTTACATACTGGAACATCTTATTAAAATGGATGATTTGGAAGTACCCCCATTTAAGGAAACCTCCATATGTCTCAAACAAATTACAGATCCTGCAAGCACCAAGAGTTGGTTCCTGCAACTCTTTGCTACACATGCCACACATATGGATGAATGCTTCGCAAGACACAACCGAGACGCCTGAAGTTTTTCGACACTAATGTCCAGGTTCCATTGAAGTTGAACTTCAACCACAGGCAGGGTGGCTGGCCTGTGTCGGGTTTGTCAACGAGTTGGAGGTTTATCATTATCAAATGGTTCATCATATTTCACAATCATGGTATATCATTGGCATTCTTTGGATGGACAAGCCATCCTGCAGCAGTTGGTATTGGGATTCCTGGGAATTGCGCAACCATCCAAGTCTGGGGCCGACAGAAACGATGCCGTCTGTGTACCGTTACGATGGACGGCGAAAACCAATGGTAACTTCGGGGACATGAAGCAATGGTAAATTTGATTGACTGGCTATTGGTTTTAAATAGAAAATCATAGAACATCTATGATCATATGTTAATTTGGCACCGTTGGCTTAGCAAGTTGAGATGGCGCAAACTCTACGGAACCCCCTTTCAAGTCCTGATGTGTCCCTTCCTGGGATTTGGCAATGGCAATCCCACGTCCCCCATTGGAGAATCTAAGTGAGATTTGTAGCTGATGAGTACACAGCTTATGTCATATAAGAATGAGATGACAGCATTAAATATATATATATATATATTATACATACTATTTATAGTTCTATGTTTTTTAAATATGTACTGTACTATATATATATATATATCGCGCTCCTGTTTTTGGTTGAGCATGGTGTCCTAGGGTCAGAAGAATTCAACTGCTAGGCCGCTGCTGAGATACAGTAGCATCTATGAGCCTGCGGAAATACATATAATAGCAATATGATAATAGCAGCATGATTATATATATATATATACATACATATGTTTACATATAATTATTATGCAATATGTATATACAGTATATCTCCTTATTGCAGGAAATTCCCAGGGGATAGGGCCGCATCATTTCTCTGATAAACCAAAAACGTGATATGCGACAGGCTTGGGGATTCACGGGTGCAGACCCTGATCCAGAAGGCTCCATCTTGAAGGCCGTGGCGCGCATCCAATTCATCGGCAGTGGCAAATTCGGTGAGCTCAGTTGGCTGCTGATGGTCTCGGCGCTCATCGAAGCCTTCGTGTTGATGGGTGTCTGCGGAGATGGCTGGGGAAGGGTTGGAAACTGATGATAAGTGATTGACCAATGGAATTGCTGCGAGGTATTTTATTTTCAAATATTTTCCATGTTTTACACTAGTGTTAGTGATATTATTCATATTTATATAATGAGTCAATCATTTCAAGGAGTCTTAGTTAACATTCATTAGTATGTGTTAATTAGTCACATGTTCAGCAAAATGAGTCTCTTCATATCAAGGAAATATTAACTTTGTCGACATTGGCTGCAGATTTGACCAATCAAATGAAGATTTAGGGTGCAACCTAACTAACTGGTGGATGGTAATAGGTCAAGCATGAAATGGTGGAGAAGTATGGATTATTTTTAGCCAATATGTTTGAAGAGTATCTAAGACGTGTGGCATTGGATTTGTCATGACTTTTAACGCAAAAGACCTCTTGTTCTGTGTTGTGTTCGTACAGATGAAACCTCTGGAACCGGCCACAGGAAACTGAAAAGCGTACTCCAGTCCTTTGGTGTTTTACTTGGCCTGGTGTTTTCATTCTCTCTCCAGCGTGTAGAGATATATGTACGTGTGTATGCACGTGTTTTACAGATGAAATATCTAGAATCTAGATAAAATGATTGTGTATGTTAGTTTTGTTTTGTTGATATGTGTATACTGCATACTGCATGTATCTATGCAACATAAATGAGTTTACATCTATTATATACTTCTATAATCTTATATGTAATATAGAGATGTAATATGTATGTATACACATGAACTACATTTGATTGTTTTTCTCCCCATGTAACTTCACCATATTGGTGACTTCAGTTGACAAAAAATGCGACGCAATGGCATCACTCAAGGGCGTAGATCAAAGTGTTTAAACGGGCTAAGATAGCTTAAGCTCTTTAACGCCCATTATATAGATCTCCATTTCATGCCCGTTATATCCCCCACCGTGAACAAACCATGGAAGCCTGTTTTTCCGTCCTGAAGACATTCCCTCTGAGGCATTGCAAGCCAAGTGACTTTGCATGTGGCCAGATGTCTCTATGGAGATACTCGAATCTACCCGAGATACCATTTGGCAATGGATGTTAAATTGCAGTACCCTGGGTTTGTCCATGGGGGATGTAGCCCCCCAAATGGCGACTTTGATGGTCTAAGACAAAGCCACCTGGGTAGAAGATTTTGTGAGATCATGGGCTCATCTTTCGCGGTTGCCATGCAGACATATGTTTCATGGCCACAGGATGTATTATATCCATATTGGGGGTGGTCAGAAATCTATTCATAGGGATATTATAATATATGGGATGGATGACCATAAACCATATACAATGTTTTGACCATGGCACATGTAATCATATCTCAGCATAATAAAATGATCATATCTATGAACAACTCTCTACTGTATATAATGAAATCATCTGGGACGACAAAGGACACATCGATGTCATGGTAGACAATTGGTAGTTACAACTATCCCACCTGATCCTGGATTTCTGCTCAATTCTTCAATTCAGAATACTGGACCCTTGGAATTCTGAGCCAAACCATCCACGGTGCTAGCAAGTGTAAAGAGGATCATGTTAGCGTAGGAAATTACAACGCTAGTGAAATCGCACGAGAAAAAAAGATGCATACTTAGTTCACGTACACACAGCATTTAATTTCTAGTAGGGGGCCATGCTTGTTTTAACTGTGAAGTTCCCTTGATGACATCGTTATCCATTTAAAAAAATGCCTGAGAATATCCAAGACGGACAAAAATTGACGCTAGTGGCTAGTGGACAACTGTTTTTTGTTCCTCCTCGGTTCCTAATGGGAAGGGATTATCCCAGGAGATGTTCCGCGAAGTGACGGAGACCTCCTATGAGAAAGTGGTATGGCAGAGCGAGGAGGAGCGATGTTTCGGTGTTTCTCCATGAGCTAGATATTTTTGTCGCGTAGATAACTGAATGGGTTGTCCCATACACAAATGTATATTTTATATATTATATATATATGATATATAAGTGTTTGTGTACATACATGTGTTTGCTTATTTCAAGTGTTCTGTTGTACCTCTTGAATCTAAAATACAACATAATACAAGCATGTGTAGATTTTGGCTAGAGTCTGCTAGAGTTGTCTGACGACCCCAAAATGGTGTTGAAATGTGAAGAAATGGATCGGTTCCCGAAACATGACCAGTTCGATGATCTACTTTGGGGCGGCATGTTTCCCCATGACAAGTCTACTGATCTCATTTGCTTCGGAATGTGGGTGAAGAAATCAAACTTGTGTTGGAAATTGCAGAGTGATTTTGGGAAGAAACTGTTTGGTACCAATAAGTAGATGAGAAACAACTTCTAACAGATGATGCGGGCTACCGTTGGAGCTTCATAATGACATGCCGCGCCGTTGTTTGGAGGAAAACTGACTCTTTTCGCGGCGTAGTTGCAATCAAAATGCTAGTAGCCAAACTGAGGTAATACGACTACAGCAATAAATGGAGGTTTCCTAAATTGTGGATACCCCAAATCATCCAGTCGTCACCAACTCGATGGCCATTGATATAGATTACCTTACCAGCCTCTTGACAGCAAGCAAACTGCAAAACAATACCCAATTTGTTGGGTATCCAGTCAGATATGTATATGATATGCATATATATATACATATATATATGTAATGTATGTATGTATGTAATGTAATGTAATGTAATGTAATGTAATGTAATGTAATGTAATGTAATGTAATGTAATGTAATGTATGTATGTATGTATGTATGCATGCATGCATGCATGCATGCATGTATGTATGTATGTATGTATGTATGTATGTAATGTATGTATGAATGTAATGTAATGTAATGTAATGTAATGTAATGTGTATGTAATGTATGTATGTATGTATGTATGTATGTATGTATGTATGTATGCATGTATGTATGTATGTATGTATGTATGTATGTATGTATGTATGTAATGTATGTAATGTATGTAATGTATGTAATGTATGTATGGTATGGTATCTATGGTATCTATGGTATCTATGGTATGTATGTATGTATGTATGTATGTATGTATGTATGTATGTATGTATGTATGTATGTATGTATGTATGTATGTATGTATGTATGTATGTATGTGTGTGTCTGTCTGTATGTATGTATGTATGTATGTATGTATGTATGTATGTATGTATGTATGTATGTATGTATGTATGTATGTATGTATGTATGTATGTATGTATGTATGTATGTATGTATGTATGTATGTATGTATGTATATGTATTGTATATGTATGTTTACTTCCATTTAGAGACATCTGTATGTACATAGTATATATATATATGTGTATATCAACTCCAACATGCTGCAAATAGCAAGGAAAAGCAGCCCAGGAAGCCAAGCAAAACTAAAAGCATCCGCACCCACACATACTGTTACCTACTTACCACTGAATGACGAGGTGGGATTCATCAATTTCCCTCTAATTAGTAAACTTTGTTTTGCACAGTTTTTTTTTGGCAATACCAAGGTTTATTAGGTGATTTCTCATCACCCCATTTATGTTAAGACCCTCTCTGCCAGTAAAACCCTTCTCTGACTCCTGATTTCACATGGCACTGATTTTAAATCATTCACTTTCATTTTCTTTGGGACGGACACATTCTGGCTTTCTGACCCTTCCGTAGTTCATCCCGTTGTTGTTCCCCACATTGACGTGTGGGGTTTTTGTTTTTAGTTCTGTATCCGCTCCTCCTTCCTTCCCGTCCTCCCTCCCTCACTCTCACTCACTCACTCACACTCACTCACTCACTCACACACACACACACGCACTCACTCTCACTCACTCACTCACTCACTCACACACACACGCACTCACTCACTCACTCACACTCACTCACTCACTCACACACACACTCACTCACTCTCACTCACTCACTCTCACTCACTCACTCACACTCACTCACTCACTCACACACACACTCACTCACTCTCACACTCACTCACTCACTCTCTCACTCACTCACTCACACACTCACTCACACACTCACTCACTCACTCACTCACTCACTCACACACACACAAACACACACACACACTCACTCACTCACTCACTCACTCACTCACACACACACAAACACACACACACTCTCACTCACTCACTCACTCACTCACTCACTCACTCACTCACTCACTCACTCACTCACACACACTTTTGCGTGGCAGGCGCCTCGTTTGCGTGGCAGGCGTGGGACAATGTGCACCGCCAAGGGGTCGGATGTACGCCCTGGCGTCCCTCGGGCTCCGCCTCTTTTGCGTGGCAGGCGTGGGACAATGTGCACTGCCAAGGGGTCGGATGTACGCCCTGGCGTCCCTCGGGCTCCGCCTCTTTTGCGTGGCAGGCGTGGGACAATGTGCACTGCCAAGGGGGCGGATGTACGCCCTGGCGTCCCTCGGGCTCCGCCTCTTTTGCGTGGCAGGCGTGGGACAATGTGCCCTGCCAAGGGGCCGGATGTCCGCCCTGGCGTCCCTCGGGCTCCGCCTCTTTTGCGTGGCAGGCGTGGGACAATGTGCACTGCCAAGGGGTCGGATGTACGCCCTGGCGTCCCTTGGGCTCCGCCTCTTTTGCGTGGCAGGCGTGGGACAATGTGCACTGCCAAGGGGTCGGATGTACGCCCTGGCGTCCCTCGGGCTCCGCGTCTTTTGCGTGGCAGGCGTGGCACAATGTGCACTGCCAAGGGGTCGGATGTACGCCCTGGCGTCCCTCGGGCTCCGCCTCTTTTAAGTGGCAGGCGTGGGACAATGTGCGCTGCCAAGGGGTCGGATGTACGCCCTGGCGTCCCTCGGGCTCCGCCTCTTTTGCGTGGCAGGCGTGGGACAATGTGCACTCCGCGTCTTTTGCGTGGCAGGCGTGGGACAATGTGCACTGCCAAGGGGTCGGATGTACGCCCTGGCACCTTACCCCTCGACACATGCACACACGATACAAGGTATACGTGTCCAGGCTCCTCCTCAGGTCTTATGATTTTAAAAGGAAGTGATGGTGTACCATGGCCTTGCCATCAGCCACGGTACATCTATTGCTTGGTGTTGTTTTGCTGTTGCGTGGTTGCGTGTTTTCATTTTTTTGTCTTTCAATGGTGTTTTTGTGTATGCCTGTGTCTTTTGGTCGGGTTAGTTGCTGTAGGACGGTCCCAATTGTTTTTCACAGACAATCTTTGATCTGTCAACATGCAGCCACACACACAATATGTGTGATGCTGCCGTATCTTACTAGCCAGCCACCAATTTCTGCCACCTGCCGCGCATCGGCGAACCCTAAATACTAACGTTATACCAACGGTCTCTATAGTATATAGTCAGCAGCTGCCACATGATGTCAGTAACTGCACCCAACCAACCAATGCACCGAGTGTACCATGTACTGTACCAACAGTACAAACCGTACCATGTACCTTTCCATGTACTGTCCCGTACCGTGCCAAATTTTAAGATAGAAGTTGGTACCGTACCAAAATAGCGGCAGAAATACCGGCATTGTGAAAGCTTGAGATAAAAAGATGAGAGAGATCTGGCAGCGCAACCGCTTAAACGTCGCAACCGTAAAACGTCGTTAGTCTTACCCGGGTCTGGCCTGGGCCGGGGATGGGTAGGGACGGTCTCCACGTCGCGGTAGCTTGGGTAGTGCCACTGTGTGTTTCGCACTAGCCCTACCCGGGGCCTGCCTGGGCAGGACTTGGGTAGGAAGAGTGGTCTTTGCAATAACGCTAGTCCCACCGTGATTGTAACACCCCCCTTGCGACGAAGACTACTCTTCCTACCCGAGTCCTGCCTGGGCTGGACATGGGTAGGGCGACTGTGAATTTCGCACTGTCCTTACTCGGGCTCCGCTACATGATTCTTTGATTCTCAGGCATCATTCCAACTTTTTACATCCCGATAAAATATTTGAAACAAACTACGACATCAATCCCAATCTCCTCATCATCATCATCATCATCATCACGAACATGTTCATTTTTCAAACTTGCAAGCAAAGCAGAATTATCTCATTGATTGATCAACATTTATAATAAAACTTTTGCAAGCAGAGGGCCGCAAGTACAATGGCCGTTTGATGGATGACCTGGCTCGCTCTATACATGTAAAAACACAACTGACTATTGCTTTCGAGCTGGCCAGATAAGCAAGTGCCTACTGGCACTATCACAGGGCGGCGTGGGCACAAGACCTATTTAAAGCATCGCTGACAAAAAAGGCTGCCTGCGCGTTGTACATCCTCAGGGTAGCTGAACGCTGCAATTTGTATATGCCCCCTTTAACTTGGAATGCCACATAAATTAAGATGCCTTGACATGAACATGTTTAATTCATGTCAAAAGATATTTGATAAGCAACCATGCCGCGACAAATCCATGCAACAGACAAGCACAAAAGCACAAAAGAGCAACCGAGCAACAGCAAAACAACGCCAAGATTGTCACTTCCTCCCAATTGAATCTATGATAACCTTCGGCCTGTAACCCCGGTTCCCCCCGATCTCTTGTTGTGGGCAGATAGGCCTCTCTCTGGACGGACGGACTTTTCTAAGTAAAAGAAAAGCAAAAACTATTTTCTGTTGCTTCTTCAAAGTGATCCCCTTTGAGAAGGTCCATTGACTTTTTTTGGGATTGATCGAGTGATGATCATCATGATCATCATCATCATCATCATGATCATGATCATCATCATCATCATGATCATGATCATGATCATCATCATCATCATCATCATCATCATCATCATCATCATGTGCCAGCGATGTTTACCAGCCACAGGGCATGCAGAAAGAATTCACAAAATGTGCGGCTGCGCTCGAAAGAGTGCAGAACATTTACTTTGGTCAGCGAAAGTATGGTGAGCACACCATCGTTTTGATAGTGTGTCGGAAGGCTGGAAAGGCGAGGCCGTTTCGAATGTGTGTTAAACATGTATGGTGTTGAATATGTCAGGCACACCAACAGTTTGTTCCTCACATTGACGTGTGGGGTTTTTGCTCCCCACATTGACTTGACTTGGTGTAGGCTATTCAAATCACTTTTAAGTTATGCCATGCAGTTATGATGTTTCCGGTCTGTGCCGGGAACGGAAAAGAGAACGCAGACACTCACTCACTCACACACACACACTCACTCACTCACACTCACAACTCACACACGACTGACTCACTGACGCACTCACTCACTCACTCACTCACTCACTCACTCACTCACTCAAACTGGCTGTGCCGAAGTTCTGGATGGGCCCAAACTCCTCTGAGTCCTGTTGTTCCTGCTCTTCATCCGCATTCTCCTGCCGTGCATCCTCCTTGGATTGTCTGGGGTCTGGATTTGGGACCGGTGTGTTCCCGGTCAAGATGCTAGATTGTTTCTTCTCAGCAAATAGCCCATGCAGTATGGCCGCTGAAATTCTCTGAGCAGATTTTTGTACTGCTTCGACTGCGTGCAACGCTTTGACTCCTCTCTGGCAAACCACTGTTTTCGACTGGATGTGCCATCCATCCACAACATTATGCGCCTCACAAACTGCAGGGATCCAAGTCGCATCTGAGACAACCGCCTTCATATACTCGACTGCAAGCGCCATCTTGAACATGTCTTTGGTGGTGTTCATGTTTTTGCTGGCATTTTTGGCCTTCAAGCCAGTTCTTTTGTCCAGGCCAATGCATATTGGCAGGAGGGTGCGACTTGGACGCCCGACTATCCACCGGCCAAAGGCAGCCTGGGGCCACCAGGAAGATGGGAGAAGCTCATAGAAGCTCTGGAGAAAACCATCACTCACACTCACTCACATTCACTCACTCACTCACTCACTCACTCACTCACTCACTCACTCACTCACTCACCTACCTCACCTACCTCACCTACCTCACCTACCTCACCTACCTCACCTACCTCACCTACCTCCCCTACCTCACCACCTACCTCACCTACCTCACCTACCTCACCTACCTCACCTACCGCACTCACTCACTCACCCACTCACTCACTTCACTTCACTTCACTTCACTTCACTTCACTTCACTTCACTCACTTCACTCACTCTCACATCCCTCACTCACACACACCACACTCGCATCACTCACTCACACTCTCACTCACTCACTGTACATGAACATACATACATACACACAAACTCACCCACCATCACCGCTCCATCACTCTTATACTTCCTCTTCCCTTCTTGCTCTTCTATGGTCAGTCTAAGTCTAAAGAAGTTGGTAACATGTGGGGTTATCCGGTCCTTTAATTTCTTATCATGCTTTTGTATCGCATGTTTATTCACCCTGACGACCCTGGTGCTGACCCTGATGCTGGAACCCCCTCTTCTAGACCTTCACAAGTTTGCTGCTGATTCATATTTGTTGCACCTCTTGTGCCTGATCGTTTCTTAGAAAGAAAAAAACATCATACCCGAAATGATCAACTTCTCAGTAGCTTGTTGCAAGAAAAACATGGTTTTTGGAGACTCACAAAGAGTACTCTCCATGAGTGGTGCCCCCCAATCAAAAACTGGCAGCACTCCGGACCAAAAACACAACATCTTGCCCTTTCTCCATGTTTTCCATTGTTTTTCCGTGTCTTTTCATTGTGTTTTTCTGTTGTCCTTTCCATTTTTTTGTTCCCTTGTTTTCTTCTGTTCATTATGTTTTTGTGTTGTCCTTGTCCTTCTCCCTTGTCTTGTCCTTTTTATAAATGTTCATTGAAATTTGCTTGCAGGGTGCCATGAACTGTACAATTCATTTTGATTCATTTTGTATGTTTTTTTTTCCTGTTTTAGTTGTTTCCTTTCTGTGCACCTAATTTATTTACTGTCCGTTTCCCTTTCCTTGTTCTTAACCTGTTCCTATTTTTTGTCATTTTGTTGTTCATTGTCTTTTTATTTCTTGCTTTCTCTTCTGTTTTAAAACCGTTTTTTTATTTATGTGTTCTCGCCTTTTTCAAATTTGGTCTTTTGTGTTTTGGATTGCATAGGTTTGTTTTTTTAGCCAACTTTTGTTCTTATTTGCAGCTAATTTCAACAAATCGACCGCTCATGGATGCTCCGGTGAGGCTTCGCATTCAGCCAGGAAAATGGAGATGATCCAGGGCTGCAAAAGAGCGGGCGGTCCACGTTCGGCCGACAACGAAAATCGGCGTTCAAGGCGAAACATGCTGGAGCAGCTTGGGTTTCTCAAAATTGGGTGTTCAAATTTCATGGTTGATCAGTACGTTCCCCATGAAATGGTGAAAAAATAGGGTATCTACCATTTCTGGACACGCACACACTTTTGCCAATGACTCTTCTAAGCAGAATATTTGGGGATGGGTCTTGGCGCGGTCATTCAAAACAATATGTCAAATTGTTTTCCAATGATGTTTTTGAACTACAACATCACCTATAGAAAAATATAGAAGGTCTGGATTTCAGTGGTGTCTCCTAACTGATGTGGAACAATTTGCCGATAACTTGGCTGAAAAACATTATCTGGGCGCATTGATGCATCCCGGGATGCGGGCACGGCTTTGATGGCACAATTTGTCTCAACAAAGGGGTACCATAAATAGGGCACCCCAGAAATTGATATCCGATTTAGATCAGTTGCTATGATTGAAATAGCCAAGTGAAATCGGTGCAGCATTTTTCTGATCAGTTGGGATGATGATCCCAACTGGTATGGTTTGAAACCAGTAGATCATACAGATGTTAGATAAGTGTTTAGTAACCCCCTGGCAAGTTCCCCTTGTTCAAACAATTTAAAACATTTATGATCCGTGATTCGGATTATTCTCATGGGAATCATAGGATCCTGTTAGGTCGGTGTGGTCGGGATGGGATGATCCTTGTGAAACCCAGGCATTGGACCTCTCGGCCTCCATGCCAGTGGATGCGGCCTCCCCGTGATGTTGGGAGAATTGGGTGGAGACCCAGCGTTTGATGCCTCATCTCCCACATGAGCTCCAAGTTTATTTGAGAGAGTTTATATCAATATAATCAATATATATATATATACATACATAGTATAAATATAAACAAATAAAACTATATATATATATATATATACATATAATTATATATATATAATATAGATATTCCCTGGGGAAATCCACTTAAGGGTATGACACCTGGGATGGGCACCGCACCAGGTCGCCATCAGAGAAGTGGGGCTGACTCGCAGATGCCAGACGTTGAGAAGTGGGCGTGTTCAAAAACGAAACATTTGTTAGACGCCATGATTGTATTTTATCATGACAACAGGGATTTGACAAAGTCAAAATGGTGATTTTATCATGACAGGGACTTGACAATGTCAAAATGGTGATGTTTTCATGACAGGGATTTGACAAAGTCAAAATGGTGATGTTTGTCGTGACAACAGATGTTAGACAAAGTCAAAATGGTGATGTTTTTATCAGAGGGATTTGACAAAGTCAAAAAGGTGATTTTATCATGACAACAGGGATTTGACAAAGTCAAAATGGTGATATTATCATGACAACAGGGATTTGACAAAGTCAAAATGGTGATCTTATCATGACAACAGGGATTTGACAAAGTCACAATTGTAATTTATCATGACAACAGGGATTTGACAAAGTCAAAATGGTGATCTTATCATGACAACAGGTATTTGACGAAGTCAAAATGGTGTTTTGATCATAGAAACAGGGGTTGTACCAAGTCTTAATTGGAGGAACATGGAACAACACAAATATGGGGTGGTTGTAAAACATTTTTTCTATAGGAACACATGTGTTGTATCAATATAAAGTATAAATATAAATGTACACAACCAACCAATGATGTTATGATGTGGGCTTGTCCAAATATTATATGGTTGATACAAATACTGTAATACGAAACATGATGATCGACCCCTGGATTTTGAGGTAAGCCGTTTGGGGTTTATGGATTTGATTTTGACCGGCGTGGTGGACAAACCTGGATCATCTTCTTTACACTACGCTTAGCTATGATTCCTTTCTAATTCATGTGTTCAAGGAGTAATCAACAGGTAACACAGATCAAGATCATGATATACTAATCAAACATATTTAAACTAACTCTGGCAAGTGTCCAGGAGGAAAGCATTCAAATTTTGGGGAGCCACGGGCGGAGTTGCAACGATTCCATGGCTATTTCCTCTTCATACTCCTCACCACTCACCTTGATTCCCGTATTTTTGGTCACTGGGTACATCCGCAAGTATGCCCAGATCAAAGAGCTCAGTTATACAGTTATATTATATATATATATTATATTATATATTGCACTGGTAGCAACTTACCCCCCCAATCACTTAACGAATCCACAAAAACCATGGGACTCTAACCTGTACAGATCCACGACATTCTGGCGATATTTTTCACCATCTGCAGTCTGGCTTGTCGGTCCATGGTGATCTCAACGATGTCGGTAAGCATCAAACTGCCATAACCGTTAGTAAAGCAATAGGATCCACCAGTCCACCATCCCCAATTTCACCATATTTCACCATATCTCACCATATTTCACCCTACATGGCTGGTATAGGATTCTTATGAGATGGTATATGTATAAATCATCAATTGATGTGGGTGGTTTATGGCATTGAAATTGCTTTACCAACGTTAATAGCCACTGATTCAGTTGCAGCCGCCGCAAGGAACTCAGTTGCTGTTGCAACACCTGGCGGCACCCGCAGTGGCTCGATTTGAGGGTGAACTGCGCCTCAGCTGCGCTAAAAAGAATCGTTGAATCGTACAAGATACAAAACCAAACATAGTGGGATATGCATATATATATATATACTATTTAATGCTAAAGGTAGGTTCTGGTGGGGGAGTGATCATATATATATATCATGATATACTGGGATATATCGTAAGCCTTGGATTTGTGAAGGACATACGATGGGTTTCAGGCCAATATAAGAATCCAGGGGATTCTTTCTTGGTTATATATATATATATATATAACTAGCATATAACCGACAAATACCAACGATCTGATGTTGGTTTGTGCAAGAATAGCAAATACCGGGATACCCCAACATTGTCATTTAATGGGAAACATGATGATCGATTAAGCATTAGATTTTGGGTACCTCATTGTCAGTCAACCCTGAAACATTTCGAACAAGAAGTTGGGTAGACCGACTGGGGAATGATAGGTGAGCATGTTTCTTTGAGCCATAAGTGGAGGCATATCATAGTAATATGTTGTTCTGGTGTTGTAAACATTAGCAGTAGAGATGTGGGCCTTTCGTCGTTCGCCAAGACACACTTTTGAAATCACGGACTTTTGAAATCCTGTGTTCAATGCTGAAGTTATAGTATCGGTTTAAAGCAACAGGGACAATGACCACTACGTTTGATCGCAAGAAAGATGGATGTTTCTGATCTATCCTTCAAAACAATCCGGTGGCTGTCATATTTCTTGGTTTAGACCCCATGCTCGCTGATGAAATCATGCCCTTTTTCATACTTTGATGCTTATTCTGCAAAAAATACCCAACACATTCCCCAGCCATTTAATCATGTCCATCTCCATGTCTCATTGATCCATGATTTGTCCCATAGATTTTCCCTATAGAATCGATCAATTTTCCCATAGAGCCCAGCGATAGGGTGCCACTGTGCTGGAGGCTGTTGCAGAGTTACCTGGAGCGAAGGCTCCTGGGCTTCACCGATTTCGAGGCCACCGATGCTCTGGGCTCCAGCAACGCCCAACGCCTCATCGACGCAGCGGAGTCTTGGGTGCTGGGGCAACGTTGGGATGAACATTTGGATGGCTGGTGAATGGCCGCGGTCAATGTTTTTTGTTTGTTTGTTTTACGTTTCATGTCACTTTCACTTGAATTTCAACAACAACAACAACAAGAACAAGAACAAGAACAAGAACAACAACAACAACACCAACAGCAGCAGCAGCAACAGCAGCAACAGCAACAGCAACAGCAACAGCAGCAACAGCAACAGCAACAGCAGCAACAGCAGCAACAGCAAACATGTTACTTGCATGGAGGTTTCACCGGGAATAATGAGGCTTAGCCAGGAAAAACCACTGAAACATAGAAAATCTAGAGTCACTCGTGTCAACACAACCTTGGTGAATGCCGGGTGAACCACTTTGGTTTGTCATGTTGATGGGAACATAGAATGTCATCAGACTAGCAATGTGCAACCATGGGATTCATTTAATAAGGAAACTGCACCAGCATTCAACAGAGGTTTCATCTTTAAAGGGATAGGAGCATCAAATCAACATTTTGCCAGCATCCAGGTCTGAGTCAATCAACCTCATATGGAAAATCACATAGTTATATGATATGTTTGAACTAGTAGTTGTTGCTTTTAAAATCCAAATTTGAATAATTCCACCACCATTGATGGGGGATATTAATAGTAATTATGGCAAGTAAACCTGGAACAAGTGAAACCCTCAGTATGAAACACCACCATTCTATGGTGCCAATGGAATGTGGAAATTCCCGATTAAGCCATGGTTTCGTTTGGGGGTGTTCAACATGAGGGGGATGGGATTATATAGGATGTTTGATTCCAGCATACTTGGTACTCGTTATTGACCATCTCATATCTTTTTTGGGTGCAATCGCCGATTGGCAAGTGAAATCCTCGAAGCTTGTCGCTTCCAATAGCCATGTTTCATGGTTTTGAGGGTTCTACACCCATAGCCGTAGGCAACCAATAGCCATGTTCCGTCATCCCGACCTCTAGAGGAGCCATGCCGAATGCCTGGTGACATTATGTGAAATGTAGTGAACCAGTGAAAATCTAATCGCTTTGGTCCCATGAAGTAGGACGTGCAACATGTTTTGCTTGGTTGCCTGACTTCTAATAGCAGTTGCTTTAGCAAACTGAAAAGGGTAAGGACAGTCCTCCCAAAGTCTGATGCACCCAATCCTTGATACCCCAGGGTACGGAAGGTTTTTGGGGGTTGTCGATTATCCCATCTTACACAAGGGCAAATTCACTGATCACTATGGTCACCAGTTCAAATTCAAGACTTGTAGTGGATCTGAGGAGAAAGCGTTGTCCATCATGGAGGATCATGATGATGAAACTTATGCTTTGCTTGAAAAGTTGAGCAGACGCTGGAGATTGGAGGAACATGGTTTCCTTCCAGAGACGTTGAAGACTGCTTACCTCTAGTCCGGTGCCGCGAAGGCTGCTGAAAGATTTCTGACAGTGAGTTTTGTGGCCAAAGTGCCGCAGCGAGCACACCAAAGGTGCCGCTCTAAACAGCAAAGGCTCCAGTTTGGAGTTCTTGGAACCCAGCAACCACGGAAGGAGCCGTGATTGATCGAGTTTTTCTATACCTTGAAAGATCGCAAGATGGTAATCTCTTGAAGGATCAACAGTTAGGAAGATGTTGGAAGGTGGTTTTCCTCTCAGATTGGCATTTCCTGGCCCTTCTTGGGCATAGCTCAACTTTGCAGCCTTCCAACCGAGCAGTGGGTCTGTACCTCTTTAAAATGATCTTAAGTTCCGGGTGGTTGATGAGAAGATTACGCCATATTGCATTCGACTCTAAATCACGGCCTGAAGCCGTTGCTGGGACTCCAGGATGTACAAAGTCATCATTGCAAGCCACAGTGGCCAAAGTCAGTATGCTAAAAAAAAACATGGCAGCTTCTATGTTAGCGGGGGATGATAAATTAAAGCGCTATGATGATTACATTAAACATTGTTGACCTCTTTTCAGCGGTCATTTGAGCTGTGCGTTTACTGTCATATTGTACACCGAGGATTCATCTCCTCCCTGGATTCCACCCAAGATTTCCCATGGGAGAGTGGGGAATCCATGGGGCTTTTCCAGGTGGATCTATGGGAGGGAAATCTGTAGGATCCAGCACGGGATGGTCCAGCCAAGACCATGATGTGAATGATTGTTCTTGAAGTTGTTTTTTCCCTGTCCTATATTTGTATTTACATGAATATGAAATTTATGATGATGATGATGATGATGATGAGTATGATGAGTATGATGAGTAGTCCTTAATCAATGATCTTAGTATATCTTAGTCCTTTGTCAAGTCTTTATTTTTTTAACCATCGGTGTCGCCAGTTCTGTTGACTTCGTCGGCAGGTGGAATATTCACCAAAATGGCTTAAGGAACAGGAGGCACTGGTGGACAAGGCACTGCAATCTCATGATGGTGGGTGAAAAACTAAGACCATGGTGACCATGGTGGTTGGATTTCAGCTACAAGAAGTGGATGGTACAAAGGGAACTGAACTACAATGGAAACATGATGAAACATGTATACTAATATATTGAACACTTGACCTGCTGAGATTTTCACCACAATTTTGGTGACATGAGTTTTTTTTTCCCCGGCTCCAATTGCAACGCCCCCAAAAATGCCGATGAACTGCAGGTTCCAACTGATGTCAGCCACACAGATGGGCGCCTCTACCCACACTTTATGTGTCATTCTGGTTGTGTTGGCTTTGGAATGTGATTTTGCTATTCTAAAGGACACACCACGTTCAAGCGTTCTATTGACTGGACATGTTGCTTCAATGCCCACCAAGGCTCTTATCATCCTTCCTCTGCTCAATGTTTGCACGATTTGATGGGTCAATCCTTCCTTTGCTCATGACTATGGAGGTGCATAGTAGGTATATAATCATTAAAGTGATTCGAACACAGTATGTTTTCTGTATTTGTTTGTCAAATTTGATCCCTTCAATTGGTTGAAACACACAAAAGTCTTTGCATTCCCCACTTTTTTGGGGTGAATCATCATCACATGAGATGAGAGTTGAAAATAGTGTCTGTCAGGCACCATCCCCAAAAGAGTGACAAGAAAGTGCGGTGCTTCGAGGCAATTTTGGACGTACCAAGCTGCAGCTTGGTAGCTTTAAATAACCAGACAGATCATATTATAGATCAAGACCGGCATGTCATCAGGAATCAACCGGGATATGACCAATTTTCATACATGCTTTTCATGTGCTGAGAAGACAGAATAATTACCTATATATATATACATATATATATATATGTATATTATACTAATGTCTCTATGAGTTTGATTAGTATGAAAATGGATCCCATTGACAAGCAGCTGCTGCTGCAAGCACTTTGTTATCCCCTTCTGGATTCAGCCACCATTCATTTCAGTGCATTTTTTAAACACCCGTCCACAGGCTCTAAACTTGCTTCTGGCAACGAATGACTAAGGTGGATAATTGGTTTGTAGCTTCACATTGATGATTTCCATCCCTAGCTGGTCTGATTTTCTCCCAATGACGACCAATTATTCCCAACCCTATTCGGTCCGTGGATCCAAACTTCCAATCTGCATCTTCTTGCAGTGTCCATGCACAATACTGACCCTTCTGCTTTGGGCCAAAGCTCCTGAAGATGAAGAATTGTTGCCTACTGCAAGGGAAATAAGATCAGATTGTTGATGCCAGAGGAGCTTTCAAGTCTGGAACTGGGGAACAACAGAATGGACAAGGCAAATGTATAGGTTTCCAGTGAAGACTTTGGTCATTGGCCATAGCCATAGGTCTTGTCTTCTAAACATGTCGTATCGTTTGTGTGCGCAGAAATCAGAGTGTTCAGCAGAATCTGTTGCGGCATGCTGATCCCACGGAAAGTCCTAATTGTCCGCGTTTCCCATTGCCTATTGAAACCTCTTACAGGGGATTTCCCAGCTGGCTAGCCATGGCTAGCCATCGTAAACCAACAAAAACCTACAGTGTTACAGGGGGGGCCCCCAACTACGGCCGTTGCCATGGCTGGGAATTCGTCCTACAGTTCGAGCAGCCGCAGTCGCAGTCGCTCCCCCCTGCAACGGAAAAGTGTGATGCCACGGGCCGTTGCTTCAGCGACTCGGAACGGACCGCGCGTGGTGGCCAATCGCACGCAGCAAGGTCCACTGAGTCCACTGATTTCGGAAGATGAGATCCTGGGACGGGATGGTCCAGGTTCATTTCATTTCTGGGAGTCAGCTATGAAAAAATGTTCATGTTTATATTAGAATCGTTGAGCTTGAACAGGGATCACCGTACGAAAGTTTTGATCCATCATACTGATGTTTGATTTCGTTGCATCGTCTCCAAGACGCATGAATTAGATTTGATTGTTATGGATTGTTTGCTTGCAGTTATCCTCGAAATCAGCCACATCTGGGCAAATATACCACAGATGGATTAGAGTGGATTTATTTTCCTGCATTGTCCTTGCCTGTTGAGTAACCAATGCTCAAAGTGCTTGTATTTGCTGCCAATTTGGTCAATGAATCCCATAGCCATTTTTGTTTACTTCCCCATTGGCCAATCAATCCCAGAGAATCAGATAAAGACTCTATTGTTATATATTATATGATATTATAATATTATATATATATATGTTCCCTCAATATCCCAGATGGGTACGGGTGAAAACCGATGATACCAACTTGTTTGGGGGGTGAGGATCCAGCTATCATTTTTTTGGGTTTCACCAGGTCGTGTTTAAATCAATAGCCAGATGGGGAACGTGCCGAGGATCCGGAAGACTTTGCAGGAAGTGGTGAACGCATTCATGGATATGGACGTAGACTCCGACGCTTTTCTGCCTTGATGATACCAGGACGAGATATCAGATACATCTAAGGGTATGAGTCAAAATTTGAGGGCTTTACTGACTTTCATCATTTTCTGGATTGTTGTCAGATTGGGAACTCAATTTTTGACCCAGGCCTAGGTTTGAACATATTTACGCAACATCTAAAGCTTACATGGGCTGTGAATGAAATTCATCCAGTCCACAAAGTTTTGTGCATCCTGGCTTTGCTCAACAAAGTGCGTTTCAAGTGTTGAGCTGCACTGTTCCCACCATACATGCATGTTTATGGCTGATTGTGGCTGATATTATTATTATTATTATTATACTTTTGCAGTCTTCAAGAAACAAGAACTACAAGCATGCAGCATGTACCCAGTATATATATAATTATATATATATATATACACATATGTGCAGGAATAACCAAAATATACATAATATACATTTACATAGTATACATAATGTACAATAATATACAATAATATACAATGATATACACAATATACATAATATACATAATATACATAATGTACATAATGTACATAATATACATAATATACAAAATATACATAATGTACATACTGTACATAATTTACATAATATACATAATATACATAATATACATAATATACCCGATATACATAATATACATAATGTACTTAATATACATAATTTACATAATATACATAGTATACATGATATACATGATATACACAATATACATAATTTACAGAATATACACAATATACACAATATGTATACATATATATATATATATATGTGTGCACATATACATATATTCATATGTATACATATGCATATACATATATACATACTGTACCATGGTAGGGTTGCACTTCATTCTAACCAAGGATGAAGTTCAAAGTCTCTGGGACAACGCCTTTTCCTTGCGCCGCCGCTTTCGCCAGACGGGTTTCCGCCTGGCACGGTGCATGCGCCCGGAACGGCCCCTGACGCGTCTGGCGCCAGAGCCGTTGCGACCACCGCCACCACCACTGCTGGCGTTGCCTCCACCACCACCGACCAAACAGGAGAGCTTGGGGAGTGTGAGCGTTTTCTGGTTTTTGACACTGTTTCAAAGTCACTAGACATATTGTAACAGAGTCGATGTAAAACCGATTTAGTGTAAGATAAAGAAATGCACTTGAACAAAGGTATTTGGTATTTGGTGATTTTTTGCAGATGTTTATGTATTCAGCTAGCTTTCTTGAATACATTTTGAGAATGCTCTATTCCTTTGAAGACATTCCCAGAATTGCTGTATTGTTGCTACATATGCAGGATATTGTTGTTCAAGGATATTTTCCCTTCCAAAGTGTAGCATATTTTTTTCAAGGGATATAACATGTTCGCTGCAACCCCTAGGTTTGCCCGCGGCCAATCCCGCATATCTTTTGACATGCTCAAATCCCTGCGCAGGGTTTTAGTTTTTTACTTTCCATGAAACAATAAACACCAAAACCCTAAAACCTAAAACCCTAAAACCTAAAGCCCTAAACCCTAAATCAAAACCCTAAATCCTGAAAACTTAAAGTCAAAATCACAGCGTATAGCCAATGTTTTTATTCATCCTCTGGTGATAAGTATATCATATTGTTTGGATGTGTTGTTAGAGTGTGGGCGAACCAGGGGGGTGCGGTGAACATGTTTATTTGTGACACATGTTATCAAACACAATCCGGCAAATGCACAGTAATTTGCTAAAAACACATGCCTCCTTAATCGCGCACCTCTTAAGCAATAGTTTTGAATTGAAGCAAATGCAATATCTCTATAAAAGACAAACTATGATGAAACAGCCATGTCAAAAGATGCATTTTTGCTGCGGATGTAGCATCCCACTGAGCAAGTACAACCTTCTTTGAGACAAAGGATCTCATCTAAAGATATCTGAGAAGAGAAGATGCACCCGTTTTCGACACACAACATCCTTGAAAGAAATGCAAGCTTCTTTCAAAAAGACATAGTTCCCTTTGATATATGCACTGTTTTACAAAGCTAATTTAAGTCAATGCAATCAAGTTGATTTTAACGAAGCGTGTTTTGTTTTTATTCCCGTGTTTCACTTGAACAAGTTACCTTCTTTCATTTGTTTATAAAACAAACAAATGTAACTTTATAGACCAGAGATTGTAATATGTCAGAATAAAATACAATAAATACATGCAATGTTCTTCACAATGAGCCGAGCAAGGGAAATCAAAACAACAGCAAAAAACAACAATCAACAAAGAAACAAATCAATTTGTTGGACTCCAGTTTCTTTTTTTGTCTGTGTGTTTTTTTGGGGTTTTGCTGTTCTGGTGTATTTATTGGTCAAAAAATGTGGTTTTTGGACATCCACTGTCCAAGTCGAGTCTAGCATGAGCTCAGGAAGAGGCCAAGGCGCAGGCAGTGGCCACTGGGAGTCCAGCTAGTCATCCAAAATCAATCGGAATCCAATGGAAATCCCTGGTTGGGTGATGGTTGAATGGAGAGTATCTATGATTCTATGAGACTATTAATCCAGCCGCAAATATCTGGGTTTCACTTGCAACATCTTGCAACAATGGGGCTGTAACATGCTGTAACCCTGAAAAATTATGGTTGGTTGATGATTAGATATGATTAGATGTTTGGTGGAATTTTGTTTGACTGACTGGTGATTACGGATTCATTATGATTCTATGATTTATATTGATTTATATAGTTTGCGAACCCGACCTTGAGTCAAAAAGTGGGTTGGGAGGTGATATAGAGGGTTTTGGGCATTTTTCAAAGGGGTTTGCCTCGAGATATGACCTCCAAAAATTGATGGTTCATGATGGTTCAACATGATGTATCGGAAAACTTATTGGTTCCGAGGGCTTGAGCCATTTTTCTCCAACCTCAGTAGCTACAAATTGTTTGAGGTTTATTGTGCCAGAAATGGAATGATTCTCCCAGCTATAGCCTTTTCATGCATGTTCAGCCTTTTCCTGTTTGGAGAGGTTCAATTCAACCAGGTGAATTGGATTGGAAAGCTCCACGAGTTGTACCAAAAGAAACTGGGCATGGATCGGAAGACCCAGAAGCAAGAGATCCGCTTCGACACCGAAAAGAAACCGGGCAATGGCATCCATCAGCTGATGTTTCAGTCCACTGTACATGCGCAAGAGTTCAAAGCGGGTCCCTTTGTGGGAGATGAGTGCACCACCAAAAAGGCCAGGGTTGGATCATACATCTTGGGGCAGAACCACTTGGTCAAAGATATCCAAGGAATTCCAAGGTCTTTTCGCAGCAACCTCCACCCTTCTTCGGAAAAATGAGCGACCTCAAACGACCATGCATATAGTTTAGAGTGCTTGACAAACCACTGACTGGTTTTGGAACCCCAACGAATCAGGTGGAGGGGAGTTTTTACCAAACTGTTTGATCCATCCGAGGCAGACCGACCGATATCCAGAGCATTTTCTGGTTTTTTCATGGCGATGTAGTAGATGTTGTACCCGCTCCAATCATTCCCGACATATGTCAACATGTTCAACAGCTTTTAGCCCAACTCATCGGCGCAAAAAGGCCAAAGGCGCATCTTGGAAACTGGGAACATATCGGAACAAAAACCAGAGATGGAATGGTTATGAATGGTTTATATCATGGGGTACTCTAATAGATGATAGATTTAAGATGATTTAAGATGTTCCACGCATGACCCAGTTCCCTAGAAAGGCGGCAGAGCATTCGGCGGCCCGCGTGGCCGTTGAGAGTGAGTTTCCGCACTTCCGGGAGGAGGCTCAGGCGCCCACGGAGACGCTTGGCGATCTTGGCCGTGGCCATGGGTCAAAACCTAGCACTACCATATTTGCAGGAATACACATCCATTAACAAGCCAGCTATCTTAGGGTACCTAGGGTGCCAGCTATCTTGAATTCATAGCCATTTAGGAAGAAGACGGGGGTATGATGTGTCAGCACCAAACGTGGAAACAGAGCCACGAATTGTGGGATACATGCATTACAGGACTAGAAACATCACTAGGGTCAGTTGGTTTGACAGCATCACAAATGAGCCAAAGGGTTAGCAAGATGTGTAGGGAAACGTGCGTTTGAGGGAAGTTTTAGAGATTGAGTGAATGTGAGGTTGAGGAGGCAATGTGATCATGTAAGGTTGACATAGGTTGACATAGGTTGACAAGATGTGAGTTTAAGGTAATGTGAGATTGGGGATGATTGAGGTAATGTGGTGAAGATATCAAGTTGGTGATGTTTTTAAGTGGTGCCAAAAACACCGAAGGTCGAATCTCCTGGACCAGGGATCTCCCTATGGGATCCTATGGGTACTTTGTGGTTCTAAACTGATAAACCTTGCAATACACGCATGTCATTTTCACACTATGTACTGTGAGCTGCTCAAGTTCGGCTACGTTACATGTGATTCTACATGTGATTGTGTTCTGCTTCCCAGGCCAGCCAGACGAAAAAATCGAAAAAAGAGAGCGCAAAGCTCCAAACGGGACAGAGAAGAATCTCAGAGCGACAGTGACCTGATGGATTTGAGCTGTCGCAGTGCCAGTATTTAGTGGGGTGTTTTTTATTTGGATGCCACAAGACAGGTCTCCCCTGCTGGTTCTTGAGTTTTTACATGTGGCTGGCATTGGATCAGCAACCACCAAGGTTCGGAAAGTGAAGAAAGTGAAAAGAGAGTGAAAACCGAGAAAAGTGACTAATTTCGAGTCAAAGAAACAATGCACTGCCAACTGTGCTTCAAATGTGGAGGAGCATGCAGAAGTCAAAGATTTGTTCGTGCATGCGATGCGCAAAAAAAGAAGCCTCAGTTCCTGTTTGCTTTGCCATCACAATCCCGAGGGACCAGCACTGGGATTTTTTTGGAGCAGGTTGGCACTGGAAAATCATGGAAAGTCGCTGTGATCAATGTGATAGTATATTTTGCCATATTATAAATCATGGTATTACCTATGGTATTTTAGAAGAAAACATACCCGCACTTCGAAGTGGTGCACAATGACTGCCGGGTGCTTCCAGGCGTTGCCGAGGATTCCAAAGATTTCAGGCGCCGTTGGCTCAGGCCTCGAGTCGTTAAGCGACGAAGCCCCCAAATCAATGATATCAAAGTGAAAGAGAATAAACCCAGCCTGTCTACCTGTATCAAAAGCCATTGGAAAGTTGAACTATATATATATATATTATATATGACCTAAAGTTAGAGGACGAACCATTTCAAAAAAAACAAGGATTATGTATGGCACTAGCACATAAACGAGTCCAAAAGATTCGGGAGAATCAAACAAAAAGGTGGGGAAAATTGTGTTGCAATCTCAAGATCCAATACATGTTGATACCGAATTTACCCATTATATACTATATCCGTATGTATGTGTATATATATATACATACAGTATATTTTAAAGCTGTTTGGGAACTTGGACTGGTGGCATCTGGTGGGCCAAGATGGGCGATGTTCAGGAAGTCATAGTTCACGTAGTGCCCATGCGCCTCCCCAGTCCCCATGTGGCCTGAGACATGGTGGTATGTTCAGAAACTGCTGTGGTTACCATGCCTAAATTGCCAGGCGGATGGTGAACATGTTACTTCTTCAAAGAAGTGGATTATGGCAGGGGTGAATTGAGTGCTGCTCCACTGTCCTTGTTCTTAAGGTCAGCCTGTCGAGGGTTTGTGAAGCCGACGCGTAAAAGAGACGGCAGCTGCTGGAAGGGTGGGTCGATTCGGTTTGTTGATGTTTGTTGTTGTTTATGGGCCTTGTTTCTATCATTTTATATCCAGTGTGTCCACACTAATTATGGCATTTGTAGAGGCCCTGCTTGTTTATGGACCTCCCAGGTCTTGGCCTGGTGCGAAGCCTTCCCCTGAGGCGACGCGGTCCGTTGCCGGACAGTGTCCCAGCGACATTCCATGCTATTTTCCTCGTAGAAATGCCATTGTTCACAATGCCAGCACCAGACAGGCGTTAATGGTTTCAGGGCTTGATGACATTTGATGACCCCGCTTGGAGTGAAATGATGTGGCTCATGTTAGTCCGTCCCACGATCAACAAGTCTACCAGAAATGGAGATGAAACTGTCTCAATTATCTCAATTTGACTTTGAATTTAAGTCTAAAGATGGCTGCATAGCTGGGTTCCCATGATTCACAATTTTCGCTGCAAGACAAGCTCCACTTCCCATTTAACCATCAAAGAAGCCTGTGATTGACCCTCTGCACCCCTGATACTCTTAGACGTTCCATCCAGGTGTTTCCCAGGTCCATGACAGTCCTGGTGCCACGAAAGTCTGCCCGTCAGGTTCCGAGATGCAAATTCACCGGAAGGCGCAACGAACCGGATGGTGTGGCAGGATGAGCAGGGAGATTCTTTTGGAGTCAAACAACTACACATGTCCTGCTCCAGTGAGGAGTTGATTGATTAGAATGCAATGATATGCTGGTTGGTGGTTTAGAACATTTTTTATTTTTACATGTATTGGGAATAATAATCCCAACTGACTAATATTTTTCAGAGGGGTTGACACCACCAACCAGTATGACATGTTTTACTATGTTTTTGAAATTATTATTACTTAAAGGCATCCTGATGTAGCTGTGAAGCTCATTATCGCAGTCACGGACCAACCAATACAAAATAGGTAACTCTGGATGCAATGGACGCTAGGCCGCTAGGCGCTTGGAGGACAAATCCAATGTGCCAAGTCCAGCCATTGTGGACGTATTTTTGAGGCTAACCAATGCATTTCGAAGCTGGCGGACTCGCTTTGTTTGTTAATTTTATTTAATGGTTTCATTATTTATTGATATTTGATTATATTTATAATATATATACCTGGAAACCCAAAAACCTAATTTTTTTTAGTTAAACGGCCTTACCCAAATTATTTAGTAATTACGGCTTACGGGTTTTAGTGACAGTTTGGGTTTCCAGGATATATTATATATAGTGACCATAGTGACTAATATAGGGGAAAATTCCACTCAGAATCACAGCGGCAGTTCCAAAGTGTCACCCAGCAGGGGCGTCTCTGTGTTCGCCTCAAGCTGTTTCATTTTGCTCCTCAGCGGGGTTTGTCATATCCCAACCTGGCTCTTTTGGCCGGAATCTTAGATTCCAGGTTTGCCTTGTCGTCAGCGGCTTGCTTTTCAAACACTTTTTTCCCCATTACCAAGTACCGTTGTAAGACCCTCAAGCCAACAGCGACTGGACTAATCCTCCTGCTTACTCTGCAACATCTGCCAACGAAGTCCTGAGAGGTCATGACAGCGGCAAGCTGGCAGCACATATGCTTGAGATGTTATTTTGAAAAAACAAGGGAACGTGTTTCCGGAAAAATAAAAAAAATACCCGATATCAAAAATAGATTCTTCATCAGCTTGAACGCTTTCACATAGGATGTTCAAAGTCCACTGGTTTCGCGACCCTGCTAATAGTCTACGCCAGCTGTGGTCCAACATGTGAAATTTCACATAAACTGGAAATCGCAAGCGTCGCTCTAAAAAGCAAGTGTGAGCTAGCCGCGCATATAGAGCCAGCCACTTTCTACCCCCTTCCCCAGCAGCCCTTGCTTCATGAGATGTAAGCCACAAGCCTGAAGTGTAGAGAATAGTGAAAGTCTTGTTGATGATGCACACAGCTTCCCATGACATAAGAAGAATCGGATCAGCTCGTACTTTGTCAAGCCTTTCAGAAAGAAACCACTCCACAAATTTGTGGTAGACATAGGTGTCAGCAAATTTCGACCAAGTTCCCTCGGGCAACACCTGCAAACTTGTCAGCCCAATCCGTTCTGCAGTGAAGGGACCAGAGTGAGGAAGTTTGCAATCTGGACGCTTGGCCCACACATGCAATAGTGAGTCCAATTGAGAAATTTTGTCCGCAACTGACCCATCCAGAAGTGTTAGACATTCAGCCAACACTGAAGCAATAAACGAACGACCTGCACCACCATGATAATTGTGCCACACATCAGTTTTGAAGTAGTCATGTGGGTGATCTGGACAATGAAAGAGCTTCAAGAGGGATGGTGTCACCACCCATGGAACCACGGTTGGTACATTAGCCCATTGAGCATTCATGTTGAAATCTTCAAATGGACCCCCTGGACGCGTGCCTGCAAGACACAGCCAGCACACACCTGGTGGGTTCGCGTTGTCTTTTTCAACTCTGACGGCTCTTTGCCAATGCCGGATGAAACCACCGGCAGTTCGAAGAAAAGGCTGATCACCCTTCACCCCCAAGCAAGCAATATGCCACGTTTCCCCTTGGAACGAAAACCCAGTAGTCTGAAGCTCCAAAAGGTCGTCAGCCAGTCTATTCAGCGGAATTTGCAATTTTTCCTCAGCATGGGCAGGTTGGAAATCAATTTTCTGGATGGAAAAGTGATTCCAGCTATAGGAATTACGAACCTTTTCTTGGAAAATGAAACAATCATGTTTCGCGCCAGGGATCTGGCTGTACGTTGTAGAATTTTTTGGGCATTGCCATGTACAAAAATCTGCTGTTGAAAGAACTTCCCTGTAGGTTGACACCCATCTTGAGATTGCGAAGTGATTGAATTGGATGTCGACGTTTGAAAGGCCGGCTTCCCCTCCCAATGCATCCCTGTAGTGACACTATCATAACAGGAGACTTCTTATAGCCCCGACCTTCGTCACCGTGCAGATAGACCGGTATTGTGCGCGACAGTGACAGCTTACCCTGAGCAGCAGCATCATATACTTGATAGTTTGCAAACTCTAGTTGGTACCGACGCCAAAATTCAAGCAGAGTGCTTTGCATATTCTCCAATGGGACATCTCCCATCAACTTGGAAAGATTCTTGGATTGAACCAGGTAGTTCACAGTATCCTTCACACTAAGCACAGGGAAACTTTGGCTCGCATCCAGATCAACCCACGAAATCGGAATCTCCAACGCAAGATCGTACTTCCCAAACCTTAGTCAGAACCGCTGCCAAACTGGAACGGGGCTGTGTACTCATTGCTGGCACTAACACATACAGTACCCCAAGAAAAAAAACATCAAGCTAGGGGGCAGTTTGTGACATTCATCTTCTGCGCGTGTCGTCTGCACTTGCGCAAGTCTAGAAGTCACTGGGCACGTAGTGTCTCCAAAGTGGTCCACCGCTGCCTTTGACATCTCAGCCACAGACTTGGCAGTGGCCTTGGCCAACAAGAATTTCAAGAAACTGTCAAGTTTGTGGCTGTGTGATCACATTGGATTGTTTGCCACAAAGCATGCGTAGCGGCGTAGCGTTCGTTTTCAGTTGTTGGGCATTAGACTTGCGAATTAGCATTGGTTCTACATACACTGGAAGCGCAATGTAAAAACGGCCACACTGGCCAGTATGTTTTGAATTAACATCGAATAAGTAACAGGAAACCATATTGCACGGTGTGAGTGAATTAGCTCATCAGTTCCGTGTTCTTCAGTTTTGGCAAAAGGAGTCATGAGGAGTCGAATGGTCAAAGTTCAAGCTCAAGTCAGTCAAATGGGCACTGATGGAACCCCAAAGTTCCTGCTTCAACAGCATATCCAAACTAACCTGCTGGTTTTCCCCTGGGCCCAAAGTTTCTGAGAGTTGAGAAATATACAAAGCAGCCAAAAAAAAACATGAAAGGACTTTCAAGTAATCATCCAAGATCATCCAAGACTGCGTAGGTAACGTAGGTAACCCTCCAAGTAGGCGATACCTACTGTGGA